AAAATTTAAGAATAGAGAATCATGTATTATGTGATTACTGAACAAAATAAATGTAGTGTAGTTATATTCATGTTAGACAAAACAGCCTTTGAGTCAGAAGTTAAATTACCAAAAATAAGAAGAATCATTAAAAAAATAACAGGAAGTAAAATTCACTAAAAAAATAACTACTCTTATTTTGCATGCATCTAACCTATAAGAACTGAAAGCAACAATTGCTGGAGTTAAAAATAGAAATAGACAAATATTAGCAAGGGAAATTAAAATGTACATTTTTCTCCAAGACATGTGGAATGGTTTATAAATTGACCAGATTTAAGTAATAAAATGTCTCAACAAATTTCAAATCATATTCCTACACATTGTGTTCTCTGACCACAATTCAATAAAGTTAGACACCAATAATAAATAAATACCCTTTTAAAAATCACCATATGTTTTGAAATGTTTGGAAATTAATAACATATTCCTAAGGAAATCATGGTCAAATAAGAAAATCTATTGAAATTTTAAAAGTAGTATTAGCTACATGATAACAATATTATACATCAAAATCTATATAATTTTTATACTTGGATAGCTATGGCTCAAGCAGTACTTGGACATTTATAGCATTTAAAAATAATAGAGAAAAAGAAAGAATAAAAATGAATGGGATAAATATCCAATTCAGAAAGTTGTAAATGGAAAATATAATAAAGAAGGAAGTACATATTAAGTATACAAATATAAAGTAAAGATACTAAAGAGAAGATCAATAAAAATGCATACACTGCAACTAAATAACTCAATTTTGATGTATACACTCTAGAGAAATTCCGCCATATGCACAGAAGGAGACATAAACAAGGATATTTATAGCATATTAAAATAGCAAAAGATGGAGCCAGTAGGTGGAGTGGTGGTTAAGGGTGCTGGACTCCCACATGGCCAACCACAGTTCGAGTCCTGGACCTGGCGGCTTGCTTTTTCTCCCTCTCTCTCTCATCAAATTTAAGTAAATAAATAAATAAAAATAAAACAGTTCTTTTAAAAAATAGCAAAATATTAGCAATATCAAAAGTAGAAGAGTTAAATACATTGGCTTAAATATAAGTAATATATATATCCAATAAAATCCTATTCTGCTCAGCAAAGAAAATGAATAAATTGATTCTACATAAATCAGCCTGGATAATGTGAAAAAGACTAATGCTGAACCAAAAAAAAGCAAGTTTTTTATATATAAATAAATATGTTTTAAAAGTCATATCAAAGACATATACACATGAAATAAAATAATAAAGATACATATTGGAATGATGAACACTGAATTCAGGGTACTGGTAATCTCTGAGGTGAGGAAAGGAATTTGTGGAGATAAATGATGAGTTTCAATTGTACTGTAATGTTTATTTTCTCCAATTGGGAAATGTGCTTATTGTATTATTTTTATACTTTTTTTATATCTGACATATTTGACAATAAAATAAAATAAACATAAAACTATAAATTATTAGAAGAAACAAGGGAAAGTGTTTCATAACATAAAAAAATCAAGAAAACATAAAAGTTCAAAGTAAGACATTTGTAAAAATTTTTAGTTGTATTAACAGTTCATGAAATAATAAAGTGCCAGAGACATTCTTCACAGAGCTAGAAGAGACAATCATACAGTTTGTCTGGAATCATAAAAGATCTCATATTGCCAAAGCAATCCTGCGCAAGAAGAGTGGAGTGGGCAGCATCTCACTCCCTGACCTGAAAATGTAATACAAAGCTGTGATAATCAAAACAGCATGATTACTAGTACCCTGAATTCGGTGTTCATCATTCCAATATTGGCACAGAAACAGACAGGTGGACCAATGAAACAGAATAGAAACCCCAGAAATAAACTCCCAAACAAACAGCCGACTGATTTTTGACAAAGGGTACCAATCCAGTGGAAAAAGGAAAACCTCTTTAGAAAATGGTGGTGGAAAAACTGGATATTCACCTGCAGAAAGATGAATCTAAACTCCTACCTTTCACCATTGACAAAAATCAACTCAAAATAGATCAAAGATCTAAACCTAAGACCTTGAACTATAAAATTACTGCTGGAAAATACTGGGGAAACTCTGAGAGACATTGGGGTAGGCAAAGACTTCTTAAATAAGACCCCCAAAGCACATTCAATAATCCCAGAAATAGACAAGTGAGATGAGATTAAATCAGACTAAGAATTTTCTGCACTGTCAAGGACACAATAGTCAGTGTGAATCAACAGCCCTCAGAATGGGAAAATATTTTTGTGAACTATGTGTCAGATAAGGGACTTATAACCAGAATACACAGGGAACTCAAGCAACTGTCCAGAAAAAAGATGATCAACCCCATTAAAAGATGGGAGAAAGAGTTGGAAAAACCACTCTCTAAGGAAGATGTATGAATAGCCAAAAGGCATATGAAAAAATGCTCAACATCCACCATTATAAGGGAGATGCCGATTAAAATCACAATGAGATACCACCTAATCCCAGTTAGAATGTCTAAGATTAAAAATAATAATAATAATAAGTGCTGGAGGGGGTGTGGTGAAAGGGGAACTCTCCTACACTGCTGGTGGGAATGAAAATTGGTCCAGCCACTATGGAGAACAATATAGGGATTCCTCAAAGATCTACAAATAGAACTACCATATGATCCAGCAATCCCACTCCTTGGTATCTACCCAAAGGACAGAGGAATCCTTAGTTGGAAAAGTGCTTGCACATCAGTGTTTATTGTGGCATTATTCACAATTACTAAGACATGGAACCAACCCGAATGCTCACAGATGAATGGATTGAAAAAGTATGGCACATATACTCTATGGAATACTACTCAACCATAAGAAACAACAAGGTCCTGATTTTTTTTTTTTTGAGAGATTTTCACTGTAGGGCGCGTGCGCTCGCCAGACAGACAGAGAGAGACATATGGTCACGCCGCAATCCCTTCTCCTCCATTCTCCTCTCGGGATCTTGGGCACGCACGCACACGCGCCCGGCATGAGTTTTAAGCCACCGGGTCCGGGACACGAACTGCAGTCGACTACGTGAGAGTCCAGCGACATAGCCATTACGCTAACTGCTGGTTCCCAACAAGGTCCTGACTTCTGACAGAAAGTGGATGAATATGGAAGATTTACTGCTGACTGAAGCAAGTCAGGCTATGAAGGAGAAACATTGTATGTCTCTACTGAATAGATACCAACTGTTCTGCACTCTATAGCCAAAACTGTGTGACTAGAGAATATAGAAACATATAAAATAGTTATAAATACCAGATACAGTGTGGGAAGAAGGTGAGCGAAGGAAGATAGACTGAGGAGGGACAATGGGCAGAGAAAAGGAGGAGCGAGCATTTGTGAGACAGAGAGATGGGTTATTGTCTGTTGAGGATGATGTATATAGAATTCCCGATTCAGTTGGTGAGAAATGTATACATGTTGGAATATTCACTTCGCAAGCTAAGGACATATGTGATTGAATGTATAAAAGAAATTGAAATAAATATATTTTTTAAAAAAAAGAAAAAAAAAGTTTCAAGGCAAAGAACAAACCAGGAGAAATTATTTGCAAAACTATATCACAACAAAAAAAGGATTTCATATTCAGCCTATTTAGAAAATTTCAATTGTTTCTTGGTCTTTTGACTAAAATCAAGCATAGAAAGTTTCTATACATTTATTAAAAATATAAAATGACACAAAACAAAAATAGACAGGAAGAAGTAGAAATTACCACTGAAGATGTTTATAAAATGCTTGACCTCACCAGTAATCAAAGAAACGTAAATTAAAGATATTAAATATGATTGAAAAGTTGTATTAATTATTGAAGATTTCAAATGTTGGAAAGAATATGCAGAAATAAGCACTTTCATCTACTGGCAGAAGAGTAGATTATCAGGAAAAAATGCAACTCAATTTTTCAGATTACATCAATACAGTTTACCATTTACCCATCAATTTGGCAGTCTAAAATTTACATATCCTTTAAACCCTGCATTTCCACATTTAGAAACATGCCTGTTGTAACATACTTATGACAGTCAAAGTTAGAAAATACTTATATGTCCACTGGGGAATATTCAATAAGATAGTCTGTCTCATGGGATACTATCTGGCCATTAAAAAGAATGAGATAGACTAATAATAATACTTAATATAACTCAAAGGTAGGCAGTATTCTAAGTATTTTACATATATCAACACATGTTATCCCAAAGAACTCTGTGAGGTAAATCTTACTCTCCACATATTAAAGGTGAGGAAATAGATAAAGTGGGTAACTAGTGTAAGATCACTCGCGGGCCATCTAGTGGAGGCTGAATCCCACATGGCCGACTGTGTGGTTGGAATCCCAGCACAGAGGCTTGAAAAACATGCCAGGTATGTGTGAATGCACTCAAAGTCCCTAAAGGACAGAGAAATGGAAAAAAAGGGATTGGAGCATGACCATTTCCCATGGGATGTGATTTCTCACTTTCTCTCTCTCTCCTCCCTTCTACCCTCTTCTCCCACCCCTGTAAGCACATGCACCCTCTGGCAAATTAATTTTTTTTTTTTAAATCACTCAAGGTTCAAAATGGCAAAGGTAGTCTTAATGTATGCAGCAAGTGCGAGAGTCTACATAACTTACCTCTGGGATTCTGAAATGACATGGAAAAGTCTCAACATGCAAAAGCAATTCATGGAACAAGAAATCTAAGATAACAAGCTGTACATATATGTTTGAATATTCATAGAAGGGTGACTGAAGGGTCACATGCCAAAGTGCTGACAGTCATTACATTTGGGGGAAAGGCGAGATGGAAAGGGGCCAAAAGCAATTGTCATATTAGATCATAGTATTTTTCTGATGGACCAGCAAACGTGTGTGTGTGTGCACATGCATACTGCCTGTGTAATTAAAACAATCCAACTCCCCAAATGATACAATCAAAAACAAAAAAAAAAAGAAAGAAAGAAAGAAATAAAACACAAATCTGACCTTCTGGTAAAGATGGTTTACTCCCATTTCCTTTATCCACAACTTTGACTCTGGGCTTTGGTTCCTTTCTTTTTTCTAAATCTTTAACTGGAAGAAAAGTAGAAGAAATATAGCAACATGTGATGTTAGAGTCTTAAAAAAAATACATTCAGTGAGTTTTACTAAAAGCCCTGTAAGCTCTAAAAGTATGAATAGAAATTAGTTCTATGGTACAAATGCATCCCCAAATATGAGAACTACAATTTTTCCAACCTAGTTAATGAGAAAATGTGGAAGGAACTGAAGGAATTCCGTGGCTGAGTATTCTCCACAGGCAGACGTGTCAACTACGTCTGCTGGGTTGTCAGAAAAACTCTTGACATTTGTTTTCTATGCGAAAAGGCATCATGACTTTTCTGACAACCCAATAATTCTTCATAATTGCTGTAAAATTAGCATGATAATCCTCATCTTATACTTGAGGAAATGGAGGACCATGGACTGAAGCATATCTCATAAAACCAGTATGCTCAGCATTCAGGTCATGTCTTCAAGTCTCTGTACTTAGTCTCTGAGTTTGACCTCAATTCTAAAAGATCTTAGCCACAGATATCTTTACTTGGAATTGTTTGATCTGAAAAAAGGGGAGAACTCCATAATAATATTATCCTTTTAAACTTAAAAAAATAAGTTTTTCTAGTAATAAATGGTACTGTTTCTTTGTCACTTTAATTGGGAGATTTCAGAGATCAAAAATGTCCTTTGGCTCTTTATTACATTCACACCAACCTACATTATGAGATAAACTTCCCACTGAATTTTCTGCTTAAAACTCCATAGTAGTTCTCATGCCATTGCTGGACATCTTAAGCTGTTTGAGGTAGTTGAGATTATCACCAAATGGCAACGGTTTGTTCACAAATAAAATATCCCTTGAAAACGCAAAAGTGAGAAAATGACAAGACAGCCTATTTAATTGTCACATTCACTTCATGGAAATCAGTAAATTTATTGGAAAGTGAGAGAAGCTACTATTTCCTTTCAACTAGCCTTGCTGCTTTCTCCAGGATATTGTGCAGGAATCCCATCCTTATCACATCCTGCCCCTCCTTCTTCCCACTGCTTCTAGCTATTTGCTGAAAATGTTTAAAATGTGTCATGTCACTCTAACTCTATTATTTCCTTCCTTAGAAACTGCATTTGGGGAAGGGCAGCTTGAGCCTGGTGCCTTAGACTGGGAGGACAAGAGTAGATAACAGAGACTGTACAGGAAGATGGTGATTAATAGGGGGTGGGTGGAAGGGGCTCAGGAAAAAAAAAAAGAATTTAACAGACACAAGAATGAAAAGAAAAAGGAAAAGGAAAAAAAAGAACTGGATTTGACTTTCTGGTACCCAGATATTAAATTCTAAGATTAAATAATAATAATAATAATAATAATAATAATAATAATTTAAAAATACAAGGTACCTTGATCCTGCTATGCCAGTGACCTAATTTTTTTATGCTTATTTTTTCAGACCTCATTTTCTGACCTCTTAGTAAACACTGGCATTTTGGAGAACACTTTCCTTTACATTGATTTTGTTCTCATTTTTTTACAAAGGCATTATCCTGGTTTTCTTCTATTTCTCTGCTCCCCCTTTTATGTTCTCTTTTTTGGATTTTTTCCCTACTTCTCATTCAAAAACATGATCACAGAATAAAGTTTTCTTTCATCTCTGTACACCTTGTCTATAATCTTATCATTCCACAATTTAAATTCTCATCCTTCTATGGATAATTTCTAAATCTATATCTTCAACCCCACCCACAAATGGGCTATGACCCCAAATTGCTTACATTCTCTAAAAGAAAATATGCCTGCAATTTTAATATAAGAGAAATTGTGCTGAATGATGTTGCAGGTAGAAACAGATCTGGGAACAAATAGAATAATCCCAGAGGAAGAGATTTGGAGATGCTTCACTGGACAGGTAACATTTGAGCCAGACTTTGAAAGATGGGCAGGATTTTTGCAGGAAGACATTATTAGCAAAAGAAGACATTCTTCATTAGACTTTCTTCTTTAGACTTCATTAGTCTAAAGAAAACTACTGGTGGGTCGAGAGAAAGTTTAGCAAAATAAGACCATAAACCATCTACAGATGAACAAGAAAATATAATGGGCACTGAAGAAGCTGGGCCACTAAGTCACATATAAGGTATAGCAGAAACTGTGCACCAAGCTGCTGTCTCCCTCATGTAAGAGAGGTGGAGAACAGTCGGAGGAAGCAAAGTGGTACTACAACAATCACTCCCATGCCCTACTCTGTGCTGAAGTTAATTTAACCTGCACAACAATCTGTACATGTCATCACGCCAACCAGCAGACGAGGAAATCCAAGGGTGGGAGTGGTGGAATTGCTTGTGGCAGATTTGGAATCATAACGTCCAGCAGATTGGATGTGGTTTCCTATGTTTAAAAATCAAAGATAAGTTTTCATGCTTCCCTGTGTATCAAAAGATGGGCTCAGGAAGAATCCAAATCCTTACACTAAATGTGAACCTATAACCACAGACTTTGTCTTGATCATCATTTTCCTGGATCCAGGCATGAAAGTTTTCCAGGCAAGAAAGACCAGGCTTTAGCCTCCTCTCAAAGAGGGCAAGAATGTAACAGAAATGTAAATGGAATTGAAATGCAAAAATGGAAAAATAAGCTGTGGAAACTGATTTTAATTTTAATTCTTACAAACTGTTATTGGGGCAGAACTAATCCCTCTATCTGGCCAAAAACAATAGCAGGGCTATACATATATATATACTTACATATCATTTATCTAGCTAAATAGTTCAACTGTTTCACCATGATTTTTCTCAGCAGAGCTAAACCAAGCCAGAAACAACTGGATTTCCTCTTAAGTGCTTTGAATAAGAAGCTACTGGGAAAACTTTTTAAATCTCCCTGTGTTTCTTCCGAAGCTCAGTTGGTGGAATATTTGAAATAATCAATTGTAAAACCCTCAGACTAAAGTAAAATGAATTGCTTCTTATCCCTTTCACTGCTTCTCACAAAATGTTTTCCAGTCACTCGTGCAGGAATGTTGGAGGCCGGGAACTGAAGTGCAGTGCCAATAAAACAAGCCACTAGGCTGATTTATACTGAAAATAACATTAAAACATTTTCCAAAGCTTCCACACAATGTGAACCTTAGAAGAAAGTAACATTTACATCTGTACGTCCTGCTGACAACTGGATTTACCAACTGTCTTTGTTTAGAAGTTTCAAGAGATAACAGGTTAGTAAAATTGTGTTTTAAGCCACAAGATGTGTCTTAAGAATATTACTCAGAAGAGGAAGAATAAAAAGGGGTAAGATGTTTAGAAATTCAGACAGAATATTGACACACCTGCAATGCCAAACCCATGGCTACTCAGACTTGTGAGTTAATTTTAGGGCAGAATTTTAAAAGCTATTATTTAAAACAAATATCTATTTGAAATGATGTCTATGATTGGCTTCAAAATAACAAGAAAGGGGTGTGGCAGTGTCAATTAACCAAGACTGGCCGTGAGTGGCTAATTGCTAAAGCCAGAGGATGAATACTCAGGGTTTATAATACTATTCTGTTAACTTTTTATTATTATATTTTAATAGTGTTAAACAATAAACAGAGTTTTAAATAGAGTCCATTTTAGCAATGAAATAACAGACAGTTAACCAAGATAGGCTTCTTCCTCTTTGCATTCATGATGTCAAAAACTTTATCCTTCACATTTGAAAGGCCATCTTTGGGAAAAGGGAATCTTCGGCCACTAGAACATAAGATCTATAGGAGCAGGGATTTGTCATATGATAGTGCCTAGAACAGGGCCTGGTGCATATTAAATATGTAGTATATATTTGTTAAAATTTTTTGAAATGAATGAGTCAATGAACAAACGAATATCTAATAAGAGGAAGAAGGATCAGGACCCATGTGGACAAATTTTAAACTCCATGTAAAGAGAACTTTTCCATGAGAACTGTGGGCCTGGGTCAGGCTGCTTCAGAGCTTTCTCCCTGGCTTAGAAAGTCCTCTGTTCATTCTCTCCTCTAATGTCCACCGAAAGCTTGGCTGCTAAGAAAGCACATAAGGAAAGGTGTCTAAGTCAGGCTCAGGAAACAATGCCAGGGAAGGTATTTAAAAACCAAAACAAAGAATAGGTAGGAAAAGGTCTTGAAAGGTCAGAGATCACAGGAATTCATGGAAGGCTGGACTACAGGTCTCTTAAAATATCTATAAAAATAAATAATGCAGGATTTTAATCCCTTAGAATACATACATTATCTCATTCTTCACAGATACTCCCAATGAATGACTGAATCTCACATAATACTGAACCATATATATACATACACACCCTATGTTTGTTTTTCTTCGTTTATCTGATAATCTAGGTAACTATGAAGTGACTAATGAATGGGTAGTATGTACAGTGTAGACACCCTAGACAAAAGGAGTATTCACATCTTAGAAGGGACAGAGCTTCAGAACTGCTCAGAGCAGTGAGCAATTGAAAACTTTATCAATTGTTCATTTCTGGAATTTTTCATTTCATATTTTCAGGCCATGGTTAATCTCAGATCATTGAAACGGCAGAAAGTGAACCCGCAGATAAGAGGAGACTACTATATATACTGCACACTCCTCCAGCGCTGGGCCAGAGTCTCACAATGGTACTTAGAGATCTGTAAATACATACTTCTAAATTGGCCTTGAGCTGGCTTGCTTTCTTTATCCTTATTATATGCAATAATCTGAACTGTGTAATTCTGGTCTGGCATAAGTCCTTGAATAATTGCTTTAGTTGCAGTGTTCTGAAGATTCAATTGATTGGTTTTTCCACCTATAATAAAACAGAAAGATAAATCAGCTCTAAAAAATAGAATTCATTGTATTATATTTTATTAACCAGCAATCAAGATTGTAAAACACATTTTTTGTTCTTTTTTGTTTATATTTATAGTGCTGACCATAATATTTTTGTATATGCCAAAAGGGAAAGATATTTTAAAATATATATAACAGTTTGGGTCCTGGACCCAGTGGCTTAAAACTCATGCTGGGTGCATGTGTGTGTGTGCCCAAGATCCCTAGAGGAGAATAGGGGAGAAGGGATTGTGGTGTGGCCATCTCCCCTGGGGGGTGATTTCTCACTTTCTGTCTCTCTGTCTCTTTCTGTCTCTGTGGTGAGCACACACGCCCTATAGCAAAAACCTTTCCAAAAAAAAAAAAATTAACTAAAACAAAAAGCTTTCAAATGACCCTAAAGTCACAAGTGGACTACACTTTTTCAGTTACCTATGTATAGAAAAGTAACAGTGCCCTAGAAAACACAGTAAACTGTTTTTACCTGAGGCTGGAGTTACAAGAAGTTTGTATCCACCAAATTTCCCTCTTGGAGCTTTCCATGAAATCTGTATGCTGTCATGAGATAACACATTATATCTTAACCTTGTGGGTGGAGCCACTGAAAAAGAAAACAAAAATGGTTTAAACATTGAAACATTAAACTTTCCATTTGTTAAATAGAAAAATCAGAGTAACGATCAAAATATACGAGCGTTCATCAGCCTCAAATGTGTTCTTTCTACAACCCGGTTATGAATTGATCAGTGTGCAAAATCACAAACCTAAGAACATTTGTTCTCTACCCAAGGGACACCCATTTGTCAAAAAGTCTGACTGTATGACTCTAAAGAACTAAGACTTAGTGTTAGAATTTAACACTCCAGCCTAGCTTAATAATGGAAGCCAATTTTGTAAAAATACTTTCATTATGTTACAAGGATGAAATTTTACTTGGAACATGTGAGCTTTTATCACGTACTCTACTGAATCCTGTTGAATGCCTTCACATTTTTCACTTTAATAATCCAATATTTCTGATGATACAAGAATTTGAGAAGGCTACTGTCGACCTATTGTAGTAATTAGACTTTCATTTAAAAACATTTGAAAAGACATAGTAAAAATCATTCAGGCACACATAGAGATAATTATGTTCTGTAAGCTTTGTTCCATTATTCAAGTGTAGCTGGTTTATACCTAAGAGAAAGATACATAGCACCTGGTCATGAATCAGCCCCAAATAGTGTTTTCTGACAGTTCATAAAAGTGGGTAGATCTGTATTACTTTTTATATAAATCAAACTTTGAAACATATGTTGGCACCCTCTGTAAATGTCCCAAAATTTCCTAAGAAGATTGTGCTTGCCATAGTTTGAGTTACTGACCTGGTGGCTTCAAAATGACACTGAACATATGTACAAGCATGCCTAAGATCCCAAGAGGTTAATGGGTTAATGGATGAAAAGGGATTGTGGTGTGGCCATCCCTCTGGGGAGTGATTTCCGCTCTGTGGAGTGATTTCTCTTTCTCTCTCTCTCTCTCTCTCTCTCTCTACCTTCTTACTATGGTTGGCCATGTAGAGTCCAGCACCTTAACTACCATGCCACCTGCTGGTCCCAAAAAAGGTTTACTATATAACACCTAAACTAGTATGTCAAAAAGTAAGAGTTAAAATACCTAACAGAAAAGTTAATACTCATTACCCACTTTTTTTTTTCTTTTTTTTTTTTTTCTGGAGAGGTTTTTGCTATAGGGCATGTGCTCTCGCCAGACAGACAGAGAGAGAGAGACAGAAAGCGAGAAATCACCCCCCGTGAGGATGGCCACGCCACAATCCTTCCTCCTAGATTCTCCTCTCGGGATCTTGGGCACGCATGCACACGTGCCCAGTATGAGTTTTAAGCCACCAGGTCCAGGACTCGAACCGTGGTCGACTACGTGGGAGTCCAGCGACATAGCCATTATGCTAACTGCTGGTCCCTCATTACCCACTTTTATGCCCAGCCTTTCTTTCTCCTTTAGGTACCATAGTATAAGGAAAGGAAATAAACATTCTTCTAAATAGGTATGTGGAATAGACACATTAATTAGACATTAATGATTCCTAGTTCTGCCCCTTTCTGGCTAAATAACCTTGGACAAATGATTATTTGTTCCAAAGTTTTTTTATTTTTAGAAAAATTGAGAGCAGTACTTTATGCAAAGGAGAGATAACTTTGAATAGATCATAGACATAGTACATTATAGTAGGTGGTCAATAAATATTTGTTCCCCTTCCCTTTTAATGGCTGAGCTCACTTAATTCTCACAAAAAAATACACTGCTATCCCATTTTCAAGCAGACCAGCAAGACTGAAGTCATTTTGAAATTAAGAAAGGCCTCTAACAAGAACAATCTGACCAAGTGCTGAGTCATGGAGAGATCTGTTTGAAGAATGGCTAAATGAGAAACCAGAAATGGGTTTTTGAAGGAATCAGAATAATTATTCAAGGGAAAACAATTGATTGTAGTGAAGAATGATTTTTTTCTGCTCGTTTCTGACCTGGTGGTTTCTGATCTTGTACCTGTAAATACCAAGCACATGCTGAGCTTTTCAAGATCGTTTGACGGTACTTTCTGACTGTCTCCCTGTAACTGGTTACACAAATAAACTCCCTCTTCTCCAGCCTCACTTCATTAACCATAAGAAACAGCATCCAGACTTGGGTGACTGGTAACACAATTTTATTGTTTAAAAAACTGAGTGATAGCTAGGACATTTGCCCAAGATCACAATATTGGTGGAAGATAATCTCTGACCCCAGATGAAATGCACTATTTCTTTGGAAACAAGTTACCCTTCATTGACCATGTGAATGAAAAAAATTGCTATTCTATATATTAGGCACTCATCTGAAATCAGTAAGCTCTGAAGGATACAATTGTCAGGATAATACTATCTAGTTGTTCTTTACTATTTCCGAATAGAAAAGCTAGCCATGCAGAACAAAAACGTTAGCTTCCTGTTGTTCTCAATTTGACAAGAATGGTTAATGAGAACATGTGAATTTATCATAAGAATAATTATTTTTCAGATAAAAGAAGGTGGCTAAAACTAATATTTGTATTAACAGAGAAACTGCTATTTTGCTTGGTCTTCAGCTTCAAAGAAAATCTATCTACAGATAGATTCTTATCATTTATGGAAGAAAATATAAACAAAGAAATTAAAAATCTTAAATAATATAGCCACGTTTCTGAGCCAAGTCAAGTTGGCGGAGTGGTAGAAATCATCGGCTAAGTTTTGGGATAATGCACTAGTTAGATAAAGCTGCTTAGGAACCATCAAGTAGAAAGCACAGCCAAAGGGATGATGGCTTCAATCTAGGCTGTTCAAGAGGATCTGCTGACTCATTTATTTCTTTAGTATGTTGACAATTTAAGGAGAAAAAAGAAACTGACAATACTCAAGAATCCTCATCTGTCAATTTGAAATATTTAGAGCAGGGGGTCAGCAGGCAATATAGAGGTTAAGGGGGTTGGTTCCCACAGGCCAACTTTATGGTTTGGGTCTCACACCCAACAGCTTAGAAATCACGTCAAGTGTGTATGCATGTGTTCCCAAAATCCCAAGATGAGAATGGAGAAGAACTGTAGTAGGACCATCCCCTCAGCAGGTGATTGTCACTTTCCCTCTCTCTCTTGACCTGCTCAAAGAAACAAAGTATAAAACAAATGCAGCAACCAAATCTATCAATATGCAATTCATTAATCATTTACATCACACAGATGACTGCAGTCCTACTATAATGGCTAGCCAAAAGCAATACCACTGTAAGTTTTATGAACAGACCACATCTACTGCCTATGTCAGCATAATACTGGCAATCACTAGAAGAAAATCTGGGTTAGACACAAAGCTCACATTTCTCTTAAATTTTGCCTTGAAAAGAAGAAATGGGAGTTTAAGAAGAAACATGAGCTCACACCCATGTCTAAGTTCGCATCCCCCGGCCCCTCCTTTTAGAAGGCCTTGGACTAAGGCCAAAGCAAGGGCAGTGAGATTGACAAAAACACTGTAAGTGCAGTGGAGAAATCATTACTCTTATCTGATGGAATAAAAGTTTGTGTATATTTAATACACAGAACCACGATTTTTCTTTTTGCAAGCACAAAGGAAGTACTCTTGCTATATCTACATAGCTTCCAGGAATAATCATAAATGCTTGCATGAACTTGACTCAAAAGTTAGTATGTGCCCATGCAAATCTTGATTTTTTTTTAGAAAGATATAACTCAAGTGTGAGGTTGGATTTCAGGCACACACTAAGAACCCAGAGGAAGCAACAAATACCCTTTGCATAGTGAAGTCAGGCTTTCTGTATGGGATAAGGCAATACAGTTTTTGTGAATTTATCAATTCCATCTTCAAGTGCAACTGAGAAGGATCCACTTTTCACCTTCCACTCTACCTTCAGGGTAGGCTTGTTACCAAAATTATAGGGATATTTTTGTTTTGTTGTTGTGTTGTTTTGTTTGAGAGGTTAGACTGTTTTAAACTCAAAAGAATTTCACTGCAGGGGTGAGCAAGAGGCATGGGGGGTAAAGTGGCTGGATCCAACATAGTTGACTCCACGGTTCAAGTCCTGGACCTGGTGGCTTGAAAAATCATATCTGCACATGTAAATGTGTTCAAAATTCTGAGAGGAGAATGGAAGAAAAGGAATTACAGCATTGCCATATCCCCTGGGGAGTGATTTCTCACTTTCCCCACCTCAATGTCTCTATTTCAAATGAGTGCATGCATCCTATAGCAGAAACAAGCAAAAAAATTTCACTGCAATTTCTATAGAAGCCCATAAGCAGGTAAAAACGTTTGTCATTTTATTGAGGCCTCACTACTATCAAGCATTTAGAAAATGTTATTTTACAATTTGACAGCTTATTAAATGGCTAAGCTCTTGGTTTGTCCATCCTTCTTTCCTCCTCTCTTCCTTCCCTCCTTTCTTTTTTCTTTCTTTTCTTTTCTTTTTTTCAAATCAATTAAAATCTTCCTTTTTTGACAAGTGAAAACCTATGTAAAGATTTTTTTCTAATAAATTATTCTCATTAATTTATTAAGACACTACTTTTAACACAGGGGTGCTGCAATGCATATTTTGTGTTTTTCTCTCTTCCAGAGAGAGTTCTGCTATAGGGCGCGCACACCCGCTGGAAAGACAGAGAGAAACAGAAAGTGAGAAATCACCCCTGAAGGGAAATGACCATGCCACAATCCCTTCTTCCTCATTGTCGTTTTAGGATTAGGGGCACACATGCCCAGTGTGAGTTTTAAGCTGCCAGGTCTGGGACTTGAACCACATGGGAGTCCAGGAACGCAACCATTATGCTATCTGCTGGAGGTTCCTTATTTTGTGTTTTTCAAGATCTATAATCATATCCTCTATTCTGTATATATCAGTACCCTGGTTTTCTTTTAAGGAACAACACTTCCTACCCCAATTCATGGAGTTTGGCCTACAATCAAATAGCAGCCATTCTTCTCTGGCTATGAGGTGGCGAAATGACACAAACCCGACCAAGTGAACTCTCCCAAGAATCTGAGACTTGAGTCCAGTGATGGAAGGAAGGAAAATAGCTCCAGTGACTTTATTCCAAGGACGTTACAAGGATATGTCCTAAAGAAAATGGCCATTAGTTCCTACAAAGGGTATTCCAGGGGATTTCCAAACTCCTATCTTTTTCAAAACTCGATTATTTAACTTGAACTATATGATCTCTTGAGTTATCCAGTAGTGAATACATTTTTGTTAAGCTATCCAGAGAAAGTTTCTTTCATTTGCAAGCAAAAATTGCTGACTGATGGAAATGGAGCATTGGTCACACTGACAGTTATTTTCTTCTTTAAAACATGATTCTCGGTGTTAAACGGATGGGACATTCTGTTGTATTTATTTTTAAAAGTCTTTTAAACCATCAGAGAAATATTTGGCTGTATTTTAGGTGATCCATAAAACAAAACAAAAAATGAAATGACCTTAGTTTTTGTCATTTTTATATTAAATGTATTGCCTAATTGCTGAGTGACATTTACTGTGGAATATACTAAAGGGTTCTTTTTATCTTGTCTAGAACCTGAAATATTATAATTTCATGATCCATTATGATGGTGCTGAAAATAGTAGTAACAAAAATATTCACAACTTTCCAATGTTTGACTACTAGTAACAGCAAAAAATATGTGTAACTGAGTTAACACAGAGGTCTTTATAAAGTTAACTAGCCCCAGTGCAAAGTCTCTAATTTTATATGCCTTGAGGTTTTTAAATGACAGTTATCCTTTACTTTCAGTAGTTCCTTCTTGTAACCATCTAAAACAAACTGCTAAAACCAAGTACATATTTACTGCGAGATTCTGAGTATTGATGCCTTCATTCTGTAATTGCTATGTACATTTATTCCCTGTAACCAGACATTACTATTTGTGTATTCCAGTTAATTTAACAACTCTTCTTGAAAATAAGATGCTAGAATAATCGAGGTATAAACAAGGTATTAACATGGCTTAAAATCAAACATGAAATAAGTGATGCCATTTTAGAAGCATAAGGAGGTTCATAGTCTCTAGAGAGGCACAGTTTTTCATAAAATATTAGATAGAGACTAAGTAGTAAAGGGCATTCTGTTAATTAACAGTTAAGGGAAAGAATCGATTTCCAATATGCTTTTTTTCTTTTGGTTTCCTGTTACAGAGCTTTACTGGGGCAGGGTGTGTGAGAGAAATCACCCCTTGGCAGGAGGGGTGTATGGCCACACCACAATCCCTGCTCCTCCGTCTCCCCCTCGGGATTTTGGGCCCCCATGCACACATATGCACCAAGCATGATTTTCAAACCTCAGCATTGGCAATTCAAACCACACAGCCGGCCATGTGGAATCCAGCACCTTATCTCCCTCCACGTCACCTGCCAGCCCCTCTCCACCTGCCTTTTAATACTATTCGCTTTCTATAGCACAAAACAAATTTCACAGTCTCAGTGATAAAATAGCAGACATTTTTATAATCTTACAGTTTCAGGGGTCAGAAGTCTAAAATGGGTCTCTCTGGACTAAAACCAAGCTGTTTATAAGATTATATCTCTTTTCTGGAGGCTATAGAATAAAGAGAATCTGTTTTCTCGCCTTGGCTTTTACAGACTTCTCACATTCCTTGACCCTTTCTATCTTCAAAGCCAGCAGTGGCTAAATCTCACCAGCGAAGTTACTGACCCTGGCTCCTCTGCCTCCCTCTTCCCTATTTAAAGCTCTTTGCCATTATATGGAGTCCACCCAGATAAGCCAGGATAATTTCTCTGTTTTGAGGTTAGTGGATTCATCTTATTCTGTCTGGTATCTTAATTCCTTTTGCCATGGAATGTAACATATTACAGGTCCTGGAAATGCAGATCTGGTCATCTTTTCCGGCACATCATTTCTTCTTCCTGTTTTGTTCATGAACAAGATTCTAAAAATATCTATATGGCTTTCCATGTTAGTGTCAATATTGGCTAACCCATGGAAACTCACTACTATATTGCTTTCAAAGCAGAAAACCAATCCAGTTAAGCAATTCATAGCCTTTATTCCTTGTGCAAAATCAAACATGAACTAAGTGATGCCACCGTAGAAGCATAAGGAGGTTTCTCAAAGGTCGCACGTATTTTCCTAAACACTCACTCCTCGGTCTGCACAACTACAAAAACTCTAAGATAAATAAATAAGTTCAGCTTTGCAGAAGGAACAGTCTCTGCCATGATTACTGAATTCCGCCCTTTTTTTCAATTAGTTTATTTTTTATATTCAATCACTGCATATCATTACAGCACACCAAATGACTTTTCCCATCTTGAATACACTATATCTTAGTTCGCCATACATATTATCATCAACAGGTTATTTCCCATTTGTGTGTCTCTTAAATGTTTTGCTTCTTTCTTTTCCCCCTTGATTCCCTTGCTCTCATCCTTCCCCCATTTGCCACCCTCTTCCCACAGTGTCTCTAGTATCCAGTTTTTCTCCATGCCTTTATACCTCCCAATCCTTCAGTCTACCCTTGTAGCATAAAAACAACAACAAGAAAAAATGCAAATAAATGTGCACAGATGTGCTCCAATAAAACTTTATTTATAAGGGACCAGCAGTTGGCATAATGGCTATGTCACTAGGCTCTCATATAGCTGACCACGGTTCGAGTCCTGGATCTGGTGGCTTAAACTCTTGCCAGGTGCGTGTGTGTGCATGCCCAAGATCCTGAGAGAAGAATGGAGGAGAAGGGATTTCAGCATGGCCATCCACCCAGGGGGTGATTTCTCGCTTTCTGTTTCTCTGTCTCTCCATCTCTCTGGTGAGTGCACATGCCCTACAATACAAAAAGTAAATTTCACAAGCTAAGTCCAATTAAAACAAAGCTAGCCGTCATTAGAAATTCTTAAAATGGTATATCAGAGTCAGTGTCATACCCCATTTAATATTTAGACTATGTGCTCAGCCTTAAGGAAAAGAGTAAAACAAAGGTCATGTATAAGGTGGTATAACTATTTTGTAGATACTCTCTTAGAGAGAGAAGGCATCATTCAGAATCATACACACACATTCTAGCTCTTGACTAAGAGAACTGATTGTGTAATGTGCAAATTTGACACTCACTGGTTAAACTTGCACCGCCTTTTCAAGAGCACTTTCAAAATTAGCTACTTGGGACCAGCAGTTAGCGTAATGGCTATGTTGCTGGACTCCCATGTAGTCAACCGCAGTTCACGTCCCGGACCCGGTGGCTTAAAATTCACGCCGGGCGCGTGTGCGTGCGTGCCCAAGATCCCGAGAGGAGAATGGAGGAGTAGAGATTGCGGTGTGGCCATCCCCCCTGGGGGGTGATTTCTCGCTTTCTGTCTCTCTGTCTCTGTCTGTCTGGCGAGCGCACGCACCCTATAGAAAAAAAATAAAGAAAAAGAAAATTAGCTACTTAACCTACTGATACAAAGTCACCATGTTCAGTCACTAGTGAGATTATATGAAAGCTGTGGCACATTTCTCCAGCACAAAAGGTTGATGAAATTGAGTAAAACATAGTACCCTACCCAGGAACACAGGTGGACCAATGAAATGCTATTAGAATAAATAAAATAAACATGATATTCAGAATCACTATGGCTAGGGTCCCGGATCTTACAGATGCTCTTAAAGTTTTTAATTACTGGGTCCAACAGGTGGTGTGGTGGTTAAGGGTGCTGGACTCCCACATGCTCAACTGTGGTTTGAGTCCCAGACCTGGTGACTTGCGTTCTAACTTTGTCTCTTCCTCGCTCGGTCCCTCTCTGGTCAAATTAAAATAAATAAATAAAGTTGAGTAAAATAATTTTTAAAAAAAATTTTTTTTAAGTTTTTAATTACCTTGACCCTGGACGATGGTGCAGAAATAAACAATTGCCAAAAAAGCTGGAAGTAGCCGGCACTGCATCTTGCACTGAAAAACCTTCATTTTATCTCCGGCTTCTTACATGAGGTGTAGCAGCTTCCTAGAAACAAAGAGCACAGGGACATTTTGAGAAGGCTAAAAATGAAGCATAGGTAGTGATTGCATGTCAAAAGAAATCGAAATAAAAAGAAATAATTTTTAAAAAATAATAGTAAATACATTTAAATAATTACTTAAAAAAAAGAAAAAGCATATGTAGCCATTCGGAACAGAGAAGCCAATATGAATCAGTGTTATCAGGAAGTAAATAATTCCCTAGGGCATCATATATTTCACTCTAAAAGATAAACTGAAGGAAGAAAGATTTTGTAGACGATGCTGTAAATGGAGAGAATGATTTTAACTGTATAAGAGAGCTCAGAATGTACTTTAGGACTCTTTCGTAAGGACATAAATTACGTAGTAATTTCCCAAGTGGACAACCTCCATAAATGTACCTGACCTGAGCATTATACTGAATCACAATGTCCTTGCCAATAATACACTCCTTCCATATTTATCACAAAAAGCTAAAACTCCTACAGTCGCCTTATTTTACATACAAAGCACAACTATATACAACCTTTTTACTAGTGACTTCGAAAGAGAATTTTAAAAACCTCTTGGTGCTATTATTAAATCCACACTCAGATTTCCCATCATTGGGTTAAATAATCCCTAAGTCTTTTACTCTTTTCTCATATCTCTGTTTTCCCCTAGTTGGTGTGAATCTAAAATGCTTCCAAATTTCTCTTTTTCATTAGGATATCAGTAAAGGAAGAGAGAGCTACAGGAAACAGAGAGAAACAAAAGTGGAAAAAAGGAAGAAAAAAAGAGGAGAGAAGGGAGAAAGGGAGCAGAGGAGGTGGGTGGCAAAAAGGCTGTATGGTATTAATTTAAAAAGTCAGTCTAATTTATTGTTTATGATTCTATTACGGGTCATTACAAAGAAATTCTGAGTCCTCTCCTTGAAGATTATGAAGACCTCAAAAGTCTCCTCATATGAGGGGTGCATTTTTTCACCCATATATCCATTCATTCATTTACTCACTCATTCACTTATTCTTTAATAGCATTCCACAAAAGATCTGTGGCAGTTTATTAATATATGAAAATAAGGAGCCAGCAGATGGTGTGGTGGCCGACCATGGGGCAAGTCCTAGACCCAGTGGCTTGAAACACACCAGGCACATGTACATGCATGCCCAAAATCCCAGGAGGAGAATGAAGGTGAAGAGATTGTGGTGTGGCCATGCCCCCAGGGGGTGATTTCTCACTTTCCTTCTCACTCTCCCTTTGCCTCTGGAGAGTGCATTCATACTATGGCAAACACCTTAAAAAAATTAAAATAATGTATGAGGGAGAGTGATCAGATTTAGCACATAAAACATAAAACTCCACTTAAATTTTAGCTTTAAAAAGCAAATAAATCTTTTGTATGAGTATGTCTCATGCAATATTTGAAACATATACAATAGTAAAAGATTATTGTTTTCTGAAATTAAAAGTTAACTAAGTATTTTGTATTATACTGGTAATCCCAATGTAAGATGAAATCTAGTAAGAAAGAAAGAAAATAATGAGTAAAATGAGCACTTAGAAAATGTCTTGTCCTGTATAGTCAGTAGAGATGAACACGAATTTGGTCCACATGTTATAAATTAAAAAAGAAAGAAGGCGGCATGCTAAGTTTTAAGGTTACCATAATATCACATTAAATTTTAAAGTATTTATCTGGAGACACATTCCTTTTCCTCATACTGAAAGCTTGAGTAGAATTTTCTCCATGGCTCATCAAAAAGATGTCATTGTTGGGAACCAGCAGTTAGCGTAATGGCTATGTCGCTGGACTCCCACGTAGTTGACCACAGTTCGCGTCCTGGACCCGGTGGCTTAAAATTCATGCCGGGCACGTGTGCGTGCGTGCCCATGACCCGAGAGGAGAATGGAGGAGAAGGGATTGCGGCGTGACCATCCCCTCTGGGGGGCGATTTCTCGCTTTCTGTCTCTATGTCTCTCTCTGTCTGGCGAGCGCACGCACCCTATAGCAAAAAACCTCTCAAAAAA